TGTGTAAACTAAATTGTGTTTTTTTTTGTATTTTTTTTACTTTAGGTATTTGTATGTATTTTACCGGAGAAAATATTGGTTTATGGTTATTTTGTTGTGAACTGAATTTATATGTTGTTATTATGTTAGTATTTTACATATATGCATATAGGTAAAATATATCAGGTATATCGATTTTTTATTGTTTTTAATATTTTAATCTCTCATTTGTTGTTTACTTTTGTTAATCATTTTTTAATTTCTATTAAGTTATGAATCCAAGTTTGGTTTCTTATTTGTTATAATATTTGCATAAAACATGTTATTCACAGTTTATGTTTTATGGTTATTTTGTTGTGAATTGAATTTAGATGTTGTTATTATGTTAGTATTTCCAGAAAAAAAATTAGGTTTATTTTAGTTGTGATTGGGATGTTTTAATGTTTCAATTATTTTTTAGTTATGTTATTTTTACTTTTAAATGTTATTAATAATAAAATATAAGTTTTAAGTTGTGTATGCATTAATTTTTATAAGTTTTAAGTTGTGATTGCATGATTTTTATAAGTTTTAAACTACAAATGTGTGAACTTTTATAAGTTTTAAGCTGTAAATGCATGATTTTTTATATAGATCTAATTATTTCAATGAAAGACATAAGTTTTATGATTTGAATGCATGGTTTTATAAATTTTAAGTTGTGAATGCATTATTTTTTTAAACAGACCTAACTACTTCAATGAAAAACATAAATTTTAAACTGTAAATGTTGTGAATATATGATTTTTTTGAAGTTTTATAGTTTTTTATGTTAGTGTTTTCTCAAATAATGTTAATTTAGTGTTTTAAAATTATGATTAACATTTCATCTATTGTTTAGTTATATTAATGTTAGTTTTAACTGTTATCAATAAGTAAATATATGTTTTAAATTGTAAATACATGATTTTTTATAAGTTTTTAACTGTGAATACATGGTTTTTTTAATAAGTTTTAAGCTGTAAATACATGATTTTTATACATATCAGATTGTTTCAACGAAATACATAAGTTTTAAGCTTTTAATGCATGATATTTACACATATATGATAGCTTCAATGAAAAACATAAATTTTAATTTTCTTGTGAATATATTTTTTTTGGTGTTGTATAACTTTGTAAGAATGTATTAGTTTTTATATCTGTTTTGCATTAAACTGTGAATAAGGGAATTAATTGGTATATTAAATTGTGCATATAGTATTAAAACTGTCAATCAATAATTTTATATGCAGATCTGATTTGAAATAATAGATGGTTGCGATAGTGGCATAAGTGGTTGATGGTGGCGTGTGTAGTAGTAGTTGGTAGTGTTGGTAGAGTTTTGATTTGACTTTTTAAATATGTGAATAATGTATAATTGATTGTATGTTGTGATTTTTATGTATTAAATTAAAAAATGGATTGTATTAAGTTTCATATTTTATATAAATTTTGTGTTAAAATATAAATGAATGTATGCATGAAAATATTAAATTGTGTATTAGTAAATTATTATGTTTATTAATTTGTGAATAATGTATTTTAAACTGTGAATATTTCTTATACACGATATATTTTTTTTAAAGAAATCTACAATTTAAAAAAAAATTGAATTTTTCAAGTCATAATTCTATTTTTTTTTGTACTAAAATTTTGTATGTTTTGGCTGGAAAAGTAAAAGTATTACCAAAGAAAAAGGAGCTACAATGTTGGTTTTGTTAAACTGTAAATACGACCAGAAAAATGCCAAAAATGACACTGAATTTAATGTTAGTCCGTCGATGGTATGGCGGTGGTCCGACGACAAATGGAAAGTAATTTGTAAAGTAAGGAATATAATAGTTTGCTTAATACAATATAAATGTTGGATTTGTCAAAAAATGTTTTTAATAAAAACATTTAAAAATGGTTCTTAGGGTTCTTAATCTTTTTTGGGTTCTCATTTGAACCACTCCCTATATATATATATATATATATATATATATATATATATATATATATATATATATATATATATAAAGGATTGAAAACCCAATGTGCTCATCAGACTCCCAAGTCTGACTCACTCAATTTCCTTGGATCACAGGTAACAGTACGAAGATTCAGAGATATTGATGTTTGAACATGCCGAGAGATTTAAGGAGTTTTAGGTCATTAAATAAATTGATGTAAGGCCTGTAAAGACTAGTTCATGCTTATGTTTTTGTATCAATTATGACATCCCAAGCTTTCAAATGTTAATGAAGAATGTTTTTTCGGAAATGCTTTGATATTTATATCATTTCACATTAATAACGTTTTGGGACAAATTCCACACTAATGAAAGAATACTCTGTTTTAAATAAGCGTAAAGAAAAAGTTGTTAATTGGACATAAATTTGGGGATGTCACATTGTGTGCAGGATGTTGTTATGTTGTAGTGATTTGTTAGTTTGGTAGATCTATTATGATTACATGTGTTTGTTGGTTATTGTTTCTTTATTTGCATATGTTGACATATTGTGGTTGGGTTGATATGGTTCTGCTATATGTTGTAGGCCAAGATATATGGGTGGTCCAATTGATACCGTAGGCCCAATGAGGGCGGTCCAACCCCATGTTGTAGGCTCAGGAGAGCGGCCAGGTGTATTGTAGGCCTTGTGAGGCGTTCCAGTCAGACTGAAGGATCATGTGTGCATGCATTGTATGTGCATTGTTGTGTGGGGTATTTTGGGGAGCTCACTAAGATTTAGCTTACATTTGTGGATTTAAATGTTTCAGGTAGTTCTGATGATCGGGGGAAGGCAAAAGCGTAAGTGTACACATCATTCTGTGGATTTATGTTTGAGAGATGTTATTTGATACTTTTATTTTATGATTATGTTTTGAAACAATGAATTGGATGACTTATGGGTTTTATAAAAAAAATCTTTTGAAAATGAAAAATGTTACTATGGTTTTTAGGATGTTACACTTCGGTCAGTTGCAAGGTGACGAGGTGGAGTTCCATTCTGCTAGTGATTGTGGATTCCCCCATTATTGCTTGAGATTAAGCAAGGTAGTTTGTTCGGAAGTCAAGAACTATTGTGAACTTATGACGGAGGTGAGGAAGATAAAGACAATGAATGGTAGGAAATGGGGTTAGAGTGAGAATTAAGAGAGAAGAAGAAGGAGGAGAAATATATGTCTATGTGGCAAAGGTAGTTTAATTGTGGATTTCCCTAATTTTGACTTTAAAGTTTAATTTTGACCAAATATTTCTAGATTTTCCAAATCTTCAAAGGACGATGTCAACAATTGTCTATGTGACAAAGGGGTAACCAGGTTACCCCTTCATTTTGTTCAAAGTGACCAATTAGACCCGACAAAAACAATTTTATTCCCTTAAAAAACACAAAAATAAGTTATGGGACTAAATGGGCAAATTCGAAATATATTGTTGGGTTAATGTGTCATTTTCCCTTTACATAAAAAAATAAACATTTATACTTACAAAAATAAATAAATCAATAATATTATAAGGATGCTTTTTTGTTATCTTATGGAATTTATCGAACACTAAAAATGATGCATTTTTATGTTTTAACACTATATAATAATAAGTTTTAATGTTATATAAGTCAAAAGCCTTTAGTCTAACGATAACAAGAGTAGATGGATATGTATCTATCAGGTTCAAGTCCCGTTGTATACGGAAAGTTTAGATTTGTGAGTATAATAGTATGGGTGTGTGTAAATTGTTAAAAAAAATAATAAAAAACAAACAAACAAACTATATAAGTCAATCTATTTTTTAATTGTATTTTATATCACATAAAAAAACTAATACATATTCTATTAAATAAAGAAAAAAAAAACATACGTTATAAATAATAATCCCAAACACTTGATAATTTGACCATCATCCCCATGTCTCTTCCCTGTTTATTGTGTCCATGTACTTTTTCTTTGTATTATATATATACAAATGTAATATTTTAAAAATAAATCGATCACAATCATTTAAGAAATGACAAGAGTTAGGTTGTATATTCTCACTCCATTTGGAGTAGTATGTTATGTCTTATTGAGTGTGCCAACATCACAATTTTTGTCACTATCAAGTTTACAGATAATATATTATTTCTTAATTCTTATATTACACTTTTCTGTAAAACTGAAAATAAATAATTAATATATCAATCGTAAGGCTTATGATTGTTGCCCTCTATGATACAGATGTATGATTACATGGATGTGTGTATCCATAAAAACATACAATATTCATGTATAAAATAAAACTATTTATTTCTTTTTGATCTTTAGTCCATTTATATATCTATTTACATGATCAGCAAATCTTAGCTTTTTAGTTATTGTTATTTTCTATTTAGAAAAAAAACAAAGATGACACACTATCTCGTCATAAATGTAACGATTTTTTATTGTTAAATATAATTAATAAAAATGTAACAAACTTATATATAGTATAACGCACCACGCAAATGTAATAACGAACCAATTTATGTCGTCCAAATTTATAATGTCGTACGAATTTTAAAATTTCATCAGAATTTATAATGTCATCGGATTTTAAAAACCGATTTATAAAATATAAATTAAAAAAGAATTAAAAACCGATTTTATATAGTCGTTCGAATTTATAATGTCATCCGATATATAAATGTTGTTCGAAATTTATAATAATAATAATAATAATAATAGTAATATATAATAAAAAATTAATTAAAAACCGATTTTATATAGTCGTTCGAATTTTATAACGTCGTCCGAATTATAAAATTTTGTTCGAAATTTATAATAATAATAATAATCATAATAATAATAATTAAAAACAACAAAAAAAAATAAAATAGGAAAAAAATAAAACAAAAAACAACAAAAGACAAAATCAAATCAAAAAATCAAATTGGAAAAGGGAGAGTACTTACAGAAACCCTTAATTTTATTTGCTTAAAAGTAGGTATTTTATGTCGATTAATTAATTTGTTATTTGGAAGGGAAAAGTATACAGTATACATAAACACGCCAAAACAACCCCCAACAAATTAACCATATAGTGATAACGCGAGTTAAAAAAGGGTTCTTCCGAAACTCCTTTACAAATCCAAGACTTTCCATTCCACCCCATCCATAACGCGTCTGATTCTAGCCGGTGCTCTACTCCCTGAGGCGGCCGAGAGAGAAAGAAGAGAATGTGTTCCACTAAGCATAAGCAAAAGCATAGGAGCTCCTCCGCCGCGTACACCGTCGTCGACAAGGCCTCTTCGGCCTCCTCAGAGGAAGACGGAGACTGGAGGCAAGAAGCAATCAACGGTGGATCTCTCAAGCTTGTAGACCTCGATACTGGATCCAATGGTTGGGCGTCCCCTCCCGGTGATCTATTCTCTCTCCGCGGCAGTAACTACTTCACCAAGAAGCAGAAGTGCCCCTCCGGTCCATGGCTCCTTCATCCTGCAGGTGTCGATTGGCTCCGTTCTGCATCTAAACTCGACCACGTCCTATCACGCGCCGACAACCGTGTGATGCACGCGCTTAGGAAGTCTCAGTGCGAAGGAAGCAGCACTGCGAAGAGTTTCGTATTGGCCGTGAACTTACAGGTTCCAGGTAGGGATCATCATAGTGCTGTGTTCTACTTCGCAACAGACGATCCGATTCCCTCCGGTTCACTTCTCTATCGTTTCATCCACGGCGACGACGCCTTCCGCAACCAGCGGTTTAAGATCGTGAACCGTATCGTCAAAGGGCCGTGGATCGTGAAAGCCACCGTCGGGAACTACTCCGCTTGCCTGCTCGGAAAAGCCCTGAATTGCCACTACCACAGCGGCCCGAATTACCTAGAGATTGACGTCGACATCGGTAGCTCGAAGGTCGCCACTGCGATTCTGCGTTTGGCGTTGGGGTGCGTCACGGCTGTGACAATCGATATGGGGTTTGCAGTTGAAGCTCAGGAAGAAGAGGATTTACCGGAGAAGTTGTTTGGAGCAGTTAGGATATGTCAAATGGAGATGTCTTCTGCGACGTTCGTCGATACAGCAACAAATAGACCATTGACACAAACAGCTCACAGTAATCGTGTTCAAGCATCGGATCTGCAGGATGACGATGACGATGACGACGCGAATATTAATATTGAGAAATGAATAAAGGTAGTGAAAAAGGGGTAAATTCTACGCAATTTTCGGGATCTCATATAGCGTAAGTAGTTTTCATGTTAATTGCGATGATCTATCCATCAATCTATCATCCCCTGCTTAAAACATTTTTTTGGTGGGCTATTCTGGTGCTGTATAGATAATAATTTCAATAATAATAACTGTAACGCTTCTTGTTCAGATTCGATGATTTTTGTTGGTGCTAAAAGATGAGAAATTGTTTCTGACATGTGTGTATGTTGTTTACTATACAAATAATCTTTCATCACATCTAACAACTATTTATTGCTTCATCGTCTGAATCTTCAACAATTCTACTCTTCTTTCTGGGAATCAAATTGTCATCTTCTTCGGAATCCTCTGCAGCAAATGGGGTACCTGTGTCAGGTAATAATACATCATCTTCTTCGCCATTTTCAGAGTCTTGTACCAAATCATTTTGAGCAGCAACTTCATTAACTTCATCATGTTCCTGATTATTCCCGTGTTCATGTTCATGTTCTTGTGGGCCAGTTATTCTAAAATCTCTAGCAGTGCTACGTTTTGCGTGCCTCAACAAGTTCATCTTGCAAGCTTTGCCAAGTAGAATCAGATACTTCTCATAATCTTCTATCTGAAATATCAAATCTGGGATGCATCTGTTCTCCCTTTTAATCTTGTTCAAAATTCCTTTACTTGCTCTACTACTGGCTTCTTGTTTCTGCAATCATCATATGTTTAATTAAGTCAAGACTAGATTGCAAATCAAGAATACAAAGTTAGAAGTTCAAACCTGCTGCATTGTTTCCATGAAAATGTACAAAGGGCCTGTTAGCTGCTTACAAGTCACTTCCACAAGCTTTTGAAACTTGAGACTTGGTAAAATCTGCTTGCAACCTTTAGGTGCGATAAGAAACTTTGAAACCCTAGCTAAGTTCTTGTAGAATTTAGCAGCCAATCTCACTACATGTTCACCTTGAAGATCTGTAAATTTAGGGTGCATCACACTATCACTAAAAAGTTTACTTTTTTACAGAATCCAAGAAAGTAGATAAAGATTGAGTAATTTAATTTACCTTTGAGGTTCATCACCACAAAAGAAGATAACAGTTCCATGACAGCTTCAGCCCTCTGGTACAGAGTCTCTTCTAATGTCAAATGTGACTTGTGTATCCCATCATCATCATCATCATCATCTACCACTATTCCTTTATAAGCACTAGTGAAACATGTTTTCATCTTCATACTGATTCGATCCATGTCAGCAAGAACTGATTCAAGAAACTGTAAGATCACTGATGATACAACAGTTTCCGTTGAATTGTTTATGATTCTGTATGTTTCTGATCCTGTTGTTTTTATCAACTCCAGTGCCATATCTTGAGCAACAGCCAAATCATTTGAAGCTTGAGTACATGATAGTGCTAGATTCACTACACTTTTTGCAATCTTGGTGTTTGCTATATTACTAGTTTCACAAATTCTTATTGCCCAATCACCAACAGTTTTACACCCAATAATCTTCGCAATATCACACAGCACCTGATAACATAACAGTATTATTCAAGTCAAAATTGTATAATCTACAAGTAAAAACAATAAAAAGAATTATGTTTTTACCTCAATTTCATGGAAGAACTTTGCTTGAAGAAGCTTAGAGAACAGAGGTTTAACAATTTTTGTAATGAAGACTTCTTCCCTTTGAATGTTCAGTGGTTCATCCTCAACTAAAGAATCTGACAACATGTCTTCAATTTCTCTCATTTCATCTGGGCTTTGAGAACAGATTGTTAACAGTTCTTTCAAGCAAATTAAAGCCAAGAGAACGAGACCCTTTTTATCATCTTCATCTTTTTTCCCTTTAGCTTCCTTTTTCTTTTGATCTGGTTGCATGAGCAACAAGATCACTTTCAACAATGGTGGTCCTAGGATCTTTATATCCCCATACATCAAACTCTTCAATGGATCATCTTTTGCCACATTGGAACAAGATTTTATCTTGCAAAAAGTGGCATTTAACACAAAATAGAACAGTTTAGAATGCTGGTTTGATGACTTGTAGAGTTGAAACAATGTTTGAAACAAGTGATGAATGCTTGATGTTGACATGAAAGTAGTTGTTTCTTTACACCACTTTGTGTTGTCTGACTCGTTTTTATATGTTAGATCAGGAGCAGTAGACCGAGGTGTTTCTTTTCTAGCACCATTGTTTTGTGTACATAAGGACTCATGTAGATCAACAAGATCAATCAACTCTTTCTCTAAATCAATCTTTGTATCATTACTTGCCTTTTCCAATTCAGTAGCAAGTGTATTCAATATCACCTCAATAACACCCGACATAATCTTAGCACTATATTTGTATGTCTCTCCTTCTTGTGGTGTATCTAAACCTAACTGTCCTTCCAAATTTCCATTTCTTAGAAGCTTCCGGATTCTTGACAAAGCATTGGAAAACGACTCACCAGAAACTGTTCCTCCTGCCTGCTGAATGCTGATATTCAGTATTGAGTATCGACACAACATATAATTAAATACTGTTTTCAAAACTTTCATTTTTTATAAATTTAATACCTCGTTTTCCTGCGTAAGTGAGAACCCGAAAGAAGCCCATGATTCAGATTTTTCTTGTGGCTGAAGTGAAAGAATCCATGAGACACAAGATAGAAGATCATCAAGTGGTTCTACTATACAAGCTTTGTTATTCTCAGACTTAATGCATTGGATTATATTAAGTTGACCATCCTGAAACCAAAAGCATAAAGTCAATCATGAAACGGAAACATGAATATATATATAATATATATTTTTTTTTTTTTAAAATTATCCAGGAGTACTTACTTCTTTGTAAAACTGTAGAAAGTGAGGCCATAGAAAATCAAAAACTTCCCCTGCTGTTAATGGATCAACCAGCACAAGCTTTACAAGTCCCTGGTATACAACCTCTTTCACTTTCGCCTACTTACAACAACAAAGCCTCAATAAGCACATGTACTTTTTTCTGGTGTGTGTGTGTGTGTTGGGGGTAGATATAAAGGAACCTGTTGATAGAGGCATCGTTGTAATAAACTACTGAGCTCTTTGAAAAGATCATTGCTAATTCCACGTGTTATTTGAGGTTGTTGACTGCTGCTAGCTTGGCTAGAGGATTCTTGATAAGAAGATGGCATATTTTGTTTTGATTTTTTGTCTGCAAGAATTAAGTCGATAATGGCTCCAGCCGCAGCTAAGCGGATTTGATCTTCTTGTCTAAACATAGCCTTTCGCACCACCAAGATGATGTAGTCCTGCCAAAATTAAGTGCTCAATGGATTAATGATGTCCGATAAATGACCATTTTACCCTTTTGTTTAGATGGGGATCAAACCATGGGTTTGTGATGTTGAGGTGAAAAGAGGGTAGGTAATAAAAGAAGGGCATATAGGTAAAAGAAGATGTCTCAACTCTCATCTCATAAAGCCTCCAACACCTACCATGTCTAATGGTTTATTTATATCAAGTAAAAAATAACAATGCCATATATTCAGCCAAATTAAGTCATGTATGTCTCTATAAAAAGAAACAAGCTCATAATCTAAATTATTATTATGTGATCAAATACATTCCTCAGATAATCATAGACTACAACCTTGAACCTTTTATTTGACTGAATAAATGGTTAGAAGAATGCAGACCTGAAGGTTATGACTGAACTTGATGAGTGGCACTAGAATGTTAATCAAATGGGAAGCAACTTTGCTGTGCATAAAACCAAAATAATCCAACAATTCCTTCAGATGTGACACATGTTCTAACATGGGGTATGGGTAGTTCTGAACTAGGTTACCAAGTAACCTATCAAAAAATAAATAATAAAAAATAATCAGACACGAGATTATTTCAATCTGCATAAGAAAACATAAGATAGGCTTTTGAGTTTTGAATACCTTATGATTGCTAAACTTTGTTCAGGCTTAAGAGAAAGGATTCGGAATTTACATTGCTCAATGATCTGCAAAAAATAAAAAAAATAAAAATCTGCATTAAGATTCTATGTGAATGTTCGGTTTTTTAATATTATTTTTTTGTTTATATTAACCTCATTTCTTGCCATATCATGAACCTCAAATAAACTTTTTAGCATTTGAATACCAAGCTCTTGAGAACCCATAAGACCTGTGTTTCCAAGTTCTTTATGGCTCATTTCCTCCCCTGATTCCAGAAACAAAAAGCCCAAGTGGACTATGCTAGGAACAATATGTTCTCTTCCATGATTACTCTCATTAACCTAAAATTATTAACCAAAACACAACAAAAATATATGATTGCTTGCTTTATGAGTTGACTGTCATATGAAATAAACTAAAGAGGAAAAATTGCAATAAAAAAGAGGTGAAATACAATTCTAAGCACTGCTTTCTCTGTCAATATGGCATTTTGTAGATACTCCTCCTTTAAGCCATCAGGTAGCCATTTACAATGTCTGCACAAGTACATAGAACAGGCCACTGATAAGAACAACAAAATGAATGTAACACACTAATAGGAAGACAATAAAATATGTAATCTTGAGGCATGTACCTTGAAAATTTGTAATCCTTATAAGCAGTGATAAGAGCTGTTTTCAGTGTTCCCATGGAGTTCTCCCTGTACCTTCTAATTCTTGCTATTGACAACAATAGCCCAACAACAAAATGATCAATTGCCTGAAGATTTGACCTCACAAGCCCCATAATTTCCTGCCCCAGTGAAGGATCTTGCTTTACAGCGAAATTGACATGCAACAGTACAGTCCCTTCAACTTCCCTGATGATATTAGAACTCGCCTTTTTAGAATGCATTTTGGTTCCAAAGAACATAACAATACCTTCAATTATTTCCCTTTTGTTAAACCCTTTCGAAGCCAAAACAAGTAACTGGTAAACTAATGAAGGAAGATCCTGCAGCTCAACACAATGCATATTGTCAAACACCTTCTGTGCAAACAGCTTACCTCTTCCCTTACCAACAAACTTGAACTCGTGAATGATAGAAACCAGTTTCACTAACAAAATCCTTGACCAATTACAATCTAGGATACGATCAAATACCGCATCAACTGAATCCTGGGGTTTATCGATCTCATTAGAGTTAAATATGATGTGGAGACACTTCGGAAGCAAGTCGAGAAGCTGCGCTTCATCTGGATCTCTGTTGATTTGTGAGATACTCGAAACGATTGTATCGGAGATTGTTTGTAGTTCGTTGATCGGGATGTTCTCTAGATGGGGAGAGAAGAGCTCCAGGGTTTTAAGAGAACGCCGATCATGAGGAATTTTGTTGGAAGTGAAGAGGATTAAGTAGGAATTGAGAAGAGATGTGAGTAGGGTAGATACAGAAGGAGATGGCGAGAGGAGAGAGAGGAGAGACGATGTGTATTCAGAGACGGCGGAGGGAGGGAGCGTGTGGAGGTGGGAGACAAGGGTTTCGTGAGAAGTTGGGGAGAGGAGGTAAGGATGAAGCGGTGCAGTAGTGTGGTACTGAGCTAAGCGGATTATGTCGTCCGGGGTGAGAGGCGGTGAGTTGTTACGGTGGTTGGCGGTGGCGCTCGTCATGGTGGCGCGACCGTAGTTGGATAGCAGACGAAGTTGTGAGTGGGTTTTGTGGATTTTTCGAGCGCGGGAAAACTCGAAAATGTTTCATTTTTATTTTTGGCAAATAGTTGGTAAAAATCATATTTATTTTGGTTTCGAATTTAAACCAAATCTCCTTCCCTACTCTAAAAAATTTAAAAAAAAAAAAAAAAAAAAAAAAAAAAAACTCCATTTGTTCTCACGTGTAATCTTCTATTCTTCTCAACCCCTTTAAACTTCCAAAAATACACATTTAAAACTCTCATGGCAATATGGCATTAGACTGCTCCGTTCCTCCACTTTAGCTTCAGATTATCCCGATTAATCTTTTACAAATCAGCTCCCCAGAAGAAAAGAAAAAAAAAAAAAAAAAAAAATTAAACAGCAGATCATTTGGTTAGATATTGGACCTCCAAAGTTAAGAAAACTCCTTTTGCCCGGTTCAAACCCGGGGCTTTTACTCCAAGAGACATTTGTCTCTACCAACCGGCTAGTCCCGGTTGGCTCTACAGAAAAATTGTTATATATGAATCTTTTACGTAACCATTAATTATATCCCAAAAAATCAATCAAGAAATTTGAATTCCAAAAGATCTACCTCCAATATCAAATTTACCGTCTTTCTAATTCCTTAACGGCACAATCGCATTCCATGTTTATTGATTAGGAGTTTCTAACCAAGATATGCTAAACCAACAATTATGTAAGGGAAAAACCTTAACTGAGTCGTAACATCCCCATATTTAAGGAAAGAAATGGATTTCATAAGTAATTCTAAAAATTTATATAATTACGATTATGTTATCTACTCACAACGTTCGATATTGCTATTGGAAGTGTTTGAACCCTAACATCGATTGACGACTAATTTTGATGTTCGTTGGTTCTTTGATGTTGTTGGTTGGTTCTTCAACTTTTTTCTCTTTAGTTTTATTTTCTATTTTTGTCTTTTGATTTTGAATTATCATCTCCGGAGTTTAATCATCAGCCTTTTTTTAATGTGAATTTGAATCATCTTGTGTATTAGTGATATTCATTTTTAGTGTTCTGATTAGTATCATTGTTGTCAAAATTATGATACCATCTTATACAAATGATAAGAAACAAATTTTTTTTTAAACTTGCATTAAAACTTTAATTAGCTCTGTTTCGGATGCAAATGAGCAATAGATATAATTAGAAGTCTATTATTAATGTGTGTAGTGTTATGTGTGTATGTTTGTGTATTATATGTATGTATGTTTGTGTGTTATGATATGTATGACGGCCCACTTCCAAAATATGTGATTGTTTCGGTCCTTTCAAGATTTGGGGTTGGAATCAAACAAACATTTGTCAAATTTTTGAAATTTTTGGTGATTTTTTAAATCAATGGTTCTAAGTTTTTTCTAATATTACTTGGAGTTCTATTTCCTTATTTGTTTTATTTTAAATTTTTTTTTCTTATTAAACATTGTAAAATGTTATACTTTTGTATGTATTTAACAGTGTGAAAGATTTGATGGTTTCATAATTTTAGCCTTGATTTTCCCCTACTCGTTGAGAAGACTTTAAAATATGATACTAGTTTATAACCCGTGAAAACCACAGTTATAAAATTAATAAAATTTTTATAGTAAAAACTCAAAATTATTCAATTATTTCAAATAAATTATTAATTAAGAGATATATTTTTAGTTATACAAAATTGTAATCGTTAATTTAAATAAATACATTAAATTATATCACCTTATAATATATATTAATTTTATTTTATTAGTTATTATAATGTTATTAATTTAATGTAACTAGAGTGTGAAATTTGAAATTTGAAATGAAGAATCAATTATTAATTTAATGTAATTAGAGTGAAAAATTTAAAATTTAAAATAGAGAATTAATAGGTTGACATATGACATGATAGGTGACATATAATATTAATGAGGATTTCTAATATTGTGACACATGTCAATAGGAGAATAAACTTATTCATTTATTAGAATAAGGAGATTAGTTTTGATCACCAAAAAGATTTTAGATTGTGATATAAGTTTGATCTGATTTAGAGCATGGTGTTAACATATCCTTCTAGGAATATGTTAAAGATAACATAATTGTTATCTTTAGGACAACCTAGTTAAGGGTCGATTCCCGACCTAGCGTCAGACCCAGACCCTCACCCTTGTGGTCTTGCACTAGGGCCTTGGTACTTGGCGCTCTTGCGCCCAGGTTCAATTCCAAACGATAAATCCCCTGTCTATAATAAGCTAAAACACAGTTGGTCACTTCCCAGGGCGACAAGTGTAACGCTCAGAACATTGTCCTCTACCTCCTCTACACTACTAGCATATGACCACTAGTGATGCACGATCCACCAATGGGACTCCTCCACATCCTGTCGGGCTAGACGGGACAAAGGATATTGTTGGGATCATGCTCAGAAAGAGACAAGTATAAAAGAGATCCTTCTCCTTTAGGGGAAGAGATCGTTTTATTCTGAAAGGAAAAAAAAACTTTCCATATTCCCACACATACACTCATACTAACTAAATCATCGAAGCTTCGTCTCGGGATTACCTCCCGGACGTCGACTGACGTTCTTTCTTTATTGTTGTGATCATAGGGCTCAACCCATTCGGAATCAGCATGATACAGCGTTAAGCGCCTAGCACATATCATAACATTTGGCGTCATTAGGGAGTGTACTCAGAGTTACACAACCTTGATACGACACTAGACGTCAACAATGACGGGAAAAGGACATGTGGCACTCGACGGAGGAGAAATAAACCCACTCAGATCTATGTCATCACCCGACGGCACACAAGCATCTGCATCAGAAGGACAAGCCTTCACCCAAACGCCATTCGCGCAAGCGTCGGGCTCCACAGAGGACACCGCAGCTGCATCAATAGCCGCCTTATGGCGACCGCCACCCATCACAACAGAGCATCTGGTCACAACCACGACCACGACGCCACAGATAACGGTGCCTCAGTTGTCACAACCACCGACTTCTCAGCCACAACCGTTATCGCAACAAGCGGGGATGAAAACTTGGTCTCCAAGAACCATGTTGTCCTCTGTGCAACACCCAGTATCGAACTATCAATTCTCTCCCAAAGCAAGCATGTCGCATATTCCGTTCTTCGCACAACAACCACCGGTGTTCAATCCCTACATCCAGCAGCTACATGTATCAATTCCCCACGTTCCACCATCGCATGGATCTAACCCTAACACAATACCAACGTATGAGCCTAATTATCACTAAGCATCAACATATCAACTCAATCCTTCCGCACAACAGTCGCAGAGACCGAATCTTCACATGCTCCAACAGCCAGGATGGAGCTCATAGTTGCAGCAAAGCATGCAAATGATCTCACAACAGCAACCATACATATCGCAAACGGCGTGTAACGCCCGTGTTTCTAGGCTAGGCACTAATGATGATGTAATAGTCTAGGCCAACCTTTGTAACTTGTTTTGAAATAATAAGATGTATTATTGATTATTATGTGTTTTATGCTTAATTATTATAATTTAATTAATTATAAAAATAAACATCGAAAATAAATGTTAGACAAACCTGATATCTATGAAGAAAATTGTAGTGGTTGAAATAAGGATTCCGGAGATATAAAGAATACCGAAATCCGATTTATAACGAAGAAGTTATGATTTCTCGAAGTTTCGCGACAGAACAGGCATGACGTTATGTGACGTAAAAAGTGAATTTACGATAAAGTGCTTTTTATCCTTAGCGATCTAAACGAAAGTCATGGTGTTCGTTAAACCGAGAGCGTGCATAAAAAGAATGCTCAAATCTGTGGCAACCCGAACCTTTTTCCGTTAAAGTTAACCGTTTTCCGTTAAATAAATTCATATTTTATGTATTCCGTTAAATTCCTATGGTTTGGAAAATCATTTAAGTTATATAATTGAAATTTATATAAGAGTCGGAACCAAAAATCGTGCGAGAAACCCGGGTTTCCTTAGAAAATCATCGATAATCGGCCTGATTGGTGTTCACGGCCGTGAACCCGATCACGCCCGTAAACCCGATCACGGCCGCAAACCAGTTCACGGCTGGTGGATCTCACCACCGACCATGAAACCCCCCCTATATATACGTGACCCCTACCCTCATTTACACTTTTCTGACCACGAACACACTTCCTCTCTCTAAAAACCCCCACCCGAAAACCCGAGATTTCTCAAGTTTTCTCTTCATCTAACACTCCATTCACCTTAAAACACGTTTAGGAGCATCTAACACCAACCTTTTCCTCGATTCAAACATAGTTGTTCTTGAGTTCACGGTCGTACACCCTTCAAATCTTCAAACCTTCAAGAACACCGTTCACGGCCGTAAACCCTTCAATGGGCTGTTCACGACCGAGAACAGTTCACGGCCGTAATCCCTTTCACGGCCGCAAACCTTCCTAAGTGGTGAACTTGGCTAAAAACCCGCTCTCTCCGATTAAATCGAGTCCTGGTAACATTCCTAAACCAAAAGCAAGTGTTTTTTCCAACACTATAAATAATGGTTTCGCTAATAAAAATACATATATGTATTTAATTGTTATTAGGATCCCGTTAAGTGCCGCGTACATCAACCCGAGGGTCTTCATTTCCAGTTTCGTTGTCCGACATTTCACGCAACCAACTGTGAGTTCATACCCCTATACTTTTATGGTTTTAATGTTTTCAGGGGGAGAGTACAAACCAAACACAAATGATTTTGTGAATTTATACAAAAAGATTTCAAAACACTTAAAACTGACGCAATGGATATAGTCATACGGTTTCCACAATTCATAAAATATTTAGATACTTTATCCCTTTTGTATTATGCTGAGCATAAGGGACGTTTTCGACTTACTGCCAAATTGCATAGTTTTCAGATCAATTCATGAACCAAATACATAATATTCATGCAAACTATAATAGGTATAGTTTGGGGTTTCAAAATACAGAATCATAAATTCAGAGTTTATACATTGTAAAACATATAAACTATGACAGACTTAGTTTATGATATTCTCGGGTAACAAGGATACT